AAAGAGTGGATCCTCGTGATGTCTGGTCACAGCTTTTTCCCTTTGTCTCTCTTGCCTGTTTGCCTCCATAGTGAGGCAAGTTTGCTCAAAATGGTTGATGTTTTGTTGTACTTCATGACACCAATGGGGACAATTCAGTACTCGAGTCTCCCAGGTATTAATGTTAATATTGCTTTTCTTCAGACTGACCTTTAAGGTGTCCTTGAATCTCCTCTTCTTTCCACCTCTACAGAGGTTCAGCATTCGTGAGTTGGGAGTACAGGACCTGTTTCTGGAGCCAGTTATTAGGCATCCTTATAATATGTCCTGTTCAACAGAGCTGGTGCTGTATAAACCCGACTTCAATGCTGGTGGTGTTTGCTTGAGCTAGAATACTGGCATTGGTTCTTCTGTCCTTCCAATTAATATGGAGGATTTTCTGAAGACCTCACTGATGGTAACATTCCAAGGCTTTCGGGTGTTTCTAATAATGTCATCCAAGTTTTGCACCCATACACCAGGGTAGGAATGACAACACCTTGGTACACGAGAAGTTTGGTTTGGGTCCTGATGCCATGAACAAAGATAAGATTTCTAAGACATCCAAAGGCAGCACTGACAGATTTTATTCAGTGCTGTTCATCATCATCTATGTTTACTTTTTGAGAAAGGTGACTACTCAGGTAGGGGAAATGCTCAACATTCTCCAAGGACTGCCCTCTAATTGTAATCTGTAAGGGAGCAACTGGATGGCTTGAGGTAGGTTGGTAAAGTATACTAGTTTTCATGAAGTTGACAGCAAGTCCAAGCATTTTGTATGCTTCACAGAAGCAGCCAAGTGACACTGAGCTCTTCAATTGAGTGGGCACATATGACAAAGTTGTCAGCATACTGAAGATCAGTAATGGAAGTGTTGGTTATTTTGGATTTGCGACCAGTTGGTTGATGTGAAAGAGATTCCTGTCCATACAATACTAGACCCTGACTCCAGATAGAAGTCTATCAGCAATGAGATGCAGAATAGCGCAGATATAAATGGGGAAAAAAAGTGTTAGTGTAATCATGCATCCTTGACTGACTCCGATCCTAATAGTGAAAGGATCTATTTCCAAGACACTGCTTAAGACAGTTGTTGTCATGTTGTCATGAAGAAGTCTGATGACAGTAACAAATTTTGGCAGGCATCCAAATCTCAGTAGGATCTTCCATAGGGCCTCTATTGATTGAATCAAAGCCCTTAGTCAGGTCAAAGAAGGCCACATAAAGATCTCCGTGTTGCTCTCAGCACTTCTTTTGCAGCTGTCTAGCAACAAAGATCAACATATCTACTGTACCTCAGAATGGTATGAAACCATGTGGGACTCCAGAAGAATCTGGAATGGGCTTCCAAGATCTAGAATGGGCTTCCAAGAGAGGTGGTGCTATCACCTAGCTTGGAGGTCTTCAAGAGGAGGCTAGATAGTCAACTGGCTGGGGTCATCTGACCTCAGTCCTCTTTCCTGCCAGGGGCAGGGGGTCGGACACGATGATCCATTGTGGTCCCTTCCGACTCTACAATCTATGAATCTCCTTGGCAAGGGGACTGAGTCTGCTGAGAAGAACGTGTGAGAGGCATCCCAGCTATAGGCAGGAGTACAATGCCAGGTAATTGCTGCAATCTGATCTCTCTCCTTTCTTGAATATGGTTACAATTCTGGCATCTCTCAGGTCACTGGGAATCTGGTCACAATTCCAGAATGTCATAATTCAGCTTTTTACCCACCCTACTTACAAATTTCAGCTGGTGTTCCATCAGGACCGCACACTTGGTTGTTCTTCATCTGCTCAATGATTTTCAAGGCCTCTTGATAGGTTGGTGGGTCTGCAAGGCAGTCCTTAATGGGGCATTGTGGAATGGCTTTGAAGGCATTATCTTCAACATTAGAATCTCAGTTCAGAAGCTCTCAAAACTGTTCCTTCTACTATACATAGACACAGATTCATAGATGTTAGGGTTCTTCTACTATACAGTGATAAGGGAACTGTCTCCAAGAAGTGTTGTTCCATCTTCAGACCTCAGAGGGGCAGCTCCTTGTATGCTTGATACATAGAGAACTTTGGTTGCACAGAAGAAACTATGCATACTGTACATGTCAGCAAACTTTTGGATCTTTGTTTTGTCCTCCCACCACTTGTTCTTTTGCTCTTCAGTATTCCTCTGGGTCTCTGATTTAATAGTGTAATAAGTGTCTTGATTTTGTTTAGAGTTGATGTCATTCTGCCAAGCCTTGAAGGCTCTCCTTGTCAAGAAGAGCTTAAATTTCCATATCAGTCCCATCAAATCAGTCCTGATGTTTCTTTGTGGAAAAACCCAGAGATTCTTCACATGCCTCATATATGCCTTTCTTGAGGCTCTCCCAATGATCAATGGCCTCAAGATCATCAGGGAGGTTGGAGAGTTTCTCACTAAGGTGCTTCTGGAAATGATCACTTTTAGCAGAATCTTTCAAGCACTCAATACTGAATCACTTCCTTGATTGATTCTTTTGCTTACACTGTTTTGGGGTGATATGACTTGATATAGATTCATAGATATTAGGGTCAGAAGGGACTTCAGTAGTTCATCAAGTCTGACCCCCTGCCCTGGGCAGGAAAGAGCGTTGGGGGTCAGATAACCCCAGCTAGGTGCTTGTCAAGTCTCCTCTTGAAGACCCCCAAGGTAGGGGACAGCACCACCTCCCCTGGAATCCCACTCCAGATTCTGGCAACCCTTACTGTGAAGTTCTTTCTAATGTCCAACCTAAATCTGCTCTCCGTCAATTTGTAGCCATTATTCCTAGTTACTCCAGGTGGTGCCCTGGTAAATAGACCATCTCCTATTCCCTGCTGCCCTCCCCTGATGAATTTATAGGCAGCCACAAGATCACCTCTCAGCTCTCTCTTGCGAAGGCTAAAGAGATCTAGGTCCCTCAGTCTCTTCTTGTAGGGCCTTGCCTGCAGGCCTCTGACCATACGAGTGGCCCTCCTCTGTACACTCTCAAGAGTCTCCACATCCCTCTTGAAGTGTGGCACCCAAAACTGGATGCAGTACTCCAACTGTGGCCTGACCAGTGCCACACAGAGGGGAAGCATTACCTTCCTGGACCTGTTCGTGATGCACTTGCTAATGAATGATCAAGTGCAGTTAGCCTTGTTGATCACTTCGTCACACTAACGACTCATGTTCATCTTGGAGTCAACTATGACTCCAAGATCCCTTTCTGTTGCCATGCTGCTGAGAAGGTCATCCCCCAGTCTGTAAGTGTGTTGGTGGTTCTTTTTGCCCTGGTGCAGCACTTTGCACTTGTCTTTGTTGAACTGCATCCTATTTCATTCTGCCCATTTTTCCAACCTGTCCATATCCTCCTGGATCTGTTCCCTACCTTCTGGTGTGTTAACTTTGCCCCATAATTTGGAATCATCTGCAAGCTTGGACAGGGCACTCTCCACACCCTCGTCCAAGTCAGTGATGAAGACATTGAATAGCACCAGTCCAAGGACCAAGCCTTGCAGGATTCCAGCGCCCACCTCTTTCCAGGTGGATATCGACTCGTCCA